AGACCTTTAGAGGACCTATTTTGCATTACTCTTTAGTGGTTAAGATCAATATGATTGTAGTTGTTTATATCTTCATTTTGCTTTTTGGTTGGAGTTTTGCGTTAATGTAAAATATGTTTTGCAGGGGAAAAAAGGGTTCTCCACTCTGAACTTTGGCATGCATGTGCGGGACCCCTTGTTTCTCTACCTCCTGTTGGAAGTAGGGTTGTTTATTTCCCACAAGGTCATAGTGAACAGGTTAGTTTTTTTGGAATTTGAGGTTAGCTAGTTTGGTAAATAATTGATTTTGAAGCACATTTTGTTTATTGCAGATGGTATGTGTATCAACTTTGAATTTTATATGAAGAATGAATTTTGAATATCTTTTCATTTTCTATGGTGATGAATTTTATATGAATTTTATATGAAGAATGTCTCTTTTTAGTATCCAATGCCATATTGCCTTGTTAAATTTTTAAAAATAATTAACTCGGGCAACGATGGATTGTGCTACCTTAATTGATACTTACTCAGATCTCTGACTGAGATGAGTTTGTCCTTTGCGTTGCCCTTCTCATTGCTCATTTATTATATTTACTATTGCTTTTTCTGAAATTTTATGATTGAGCTAGATGGTAACATACTGACATAACTAACAGCTAAGAAGTTAATACAAAAAAGGGGTTTTATGGAACTTGAAAGATAAAGCAGTGAAATAGGTGATAGTTTTATTTGGCGTCTTGGCGGGGACTCCGAATACCCGCGAGAACCTATTATTCCCCGCGAGGATGGGACGGAGGCAATTTTTGACCCTCCGCCAAAAATCCCCACGGGGGTCCCCGTACCCACCATTGACGGGGATGGGGATGGGGAGGGGGTCCCCGCCCCTGTGGGGACCCGTTGCCATCCTTAAGCTAGCTAGTTCATTGGTTTTACCAGTTCATATTGGTTTTATTGGCTCAACTCTACAAGCAGTTTTATATATTTGATCGGACCAAATTAGCAACCAGATAATGGTTCACTGGTTTGACCAACTGGTCTGGTCTAATTTTAAAACCACTAGTTGGCATGGGGATAAGGTAAAAAATGAGACTGGACTGTAAGAGAATGGAATTTCGGGGCGTGGTTGATGGGTTTGTGAGAGAAGTGCCTGAGGGAGAAGGGAATTTTAGGGCTATCGTTATAGCGGGTATTAAATTTGTTGAGATTCCTAGAAGAAAAGTTGATTAATTTTTGTACTTGAGTCTTCAGCCAGTTACGTCATGTCACATATAAGTGCATTTTTCCTTTCCTAAGGTAATAATTCAAATTCGGTCCCATGCAAATTTGTTAAAAAAAAAAAAGTTGATTAATTTTTATTTTAATTTAACTGTTAAAAAAATATGATAATTAATAAAATAATTAATATTTATTATTTAATAGATAAAAATTAATATATAAATAAATATTTCTAAATATTAGAATTAATTATTAAAAAATTTTATAAATTAATTAAATTATTGTTAAATTCATCACTTAACAAATTTAATAGAGACGATAACTTTAGTAAAATTTTAGAGCATGATTGATGAATGTGAGAGAATGGAATTTTAAAATAAAAAATGATTTAGGAATAATTTTTTTGTATAATTTTTTGTATGATTTTATATGTTATTTAAATGATTAATTTTATTTATTTATTTAAAATTTATAATATTAAATTTATTTATTTATTTAATAATATATAAAATTTACATAAATATATAATATATAAAAATTATTCCTATATTACTGCATGATATTAACAAATTTAATGGCCGACAACAACCTTAGTCGAATATAAGGGCCTGGTTGATGGGACTGTGAGGGAAGGGAATTTCGACCTTATAGTCACCGTGGGGTAGGCTGCATCTATATTATAATTTTAACCTATATATTCCAGTAATAGAGTAACTATATTAAAATTATTGTTGGCCGGATGTGATTATTATTATTATTTATATTATTAATATCATTAAAATTTTTAGTTGTAATTTATTAGTTAATAAATATTAATTTTTTTATTAATTATTAAATTATAATTATTAATTATTTTTATTAATTAAATTAAATACATTTAATATTTTTAAAAATAAGATTTTATAATTTTAGTGGTTATAATGGTGCCTTGTTGGGACCTCGATATATACGAATATCTTAAGAGAATATTATAGGCTTATTTCACGGTATTGCATTGTGTTATTATTTTGTTACTATCTAAAAAATATATATATAATATTAATTAAATAGTAAAAATATATAAAAATTAATAAAAATAATTAATAATTATAATTTTATATTTTTAAATAAAATTTTGTGTGAAAAAAATCTATTAAAAGTTTTAACAAGTTAAGTTATAATATAATTTCTTACTTTGAATTATTGATGAAAAAACGAGTGCTTAACATTAAATACTCATTTTTTTAATTAATAGTTAAGTAAAATATAATCCGTGTAGAATCACACTTTACTTCTTTAATATCTAAATCAAAAGATATTTAATCATCAAACACACATTAGGATGTCGATGGACAATGTCGCAATGGAGTTTTTTTAAGACCTGCGGATCTGCATGCATTATATTTGGATTTTTGAAGGAGTTAATTCAATTCATTTATTTTCTTCAACATATAATTTAATAAAAAAATATAAATTAGCTTATTTAATAAGTTTTTTTTGTAAAGAGTAATGATATACTAGATAATTTATTTATAATATATACATGTCATTGAATATTAGATTACTACAATATCAAAGGTCCAAATAAATTAAAAAGAATCAATCATTAAATGATATAAAAATATTATATAAAAAGGTTATATAAAAAGATTAGAGATTTCATAAAAAAATTTTAAGTTAAGAATATGACATTTTTCCTTATTAATCAAGACTACTACTTTTTAGAAGTTTCTAATTAAAAAATAACAATTATAATTTTGCTAAAAAAGATTAAATGGATGTGCATGACCATGTCCTTAATTAAAAATTTTTTTAAAGTGGTAACATCAATTAGTAAAATTACTTGCAAAGGTCCAAGGGCGGAGGGTCATTGGTGCAGGGGCCATTTTTGAAAAAAAATTAATATATGATAATATATTTTATTTCGAGTAATATTCATATTTATTTTATTAAAAAAATAAATTTTTTTCTTTATAGTATTATAATTGGCTTGTGTTTAGATTGTGATTTACCATTTGATAGCAGCATAATTGAGAACGTTAGAAGTTATTTTAGTCATGGGATTGTGAGTTATTGAAGGAGTATAATATCTTTTTGTTATATATCCTAGGTGTTTGATTAATTAACTTAGTGGGATACACTTTTTTTGCTACATTTGCTTTGTTTATTATGTTTTAAATTTTTTTATAGGAGTATTTAATTAGCTTGATCTCTTTAATTGCAAATTAATTTAAAACTTATGTAAGCTTTTAAAAACTCATCAAATTTATTATTTTAAGTTTTTAATTATATACAAAATTGACTAAAAAATATGATGAAGAATTAAACTTAATGGATAAAATAAAGTTAATGAAGAAAAATATTTGCCTATTTTGAAATCACTACTAGAAAACACAGTATAATCGACAGAAAATATTGTCGATTATACAAGTATTTTTGTCGATTATATTTTAATCGACAATAATTTTTGACATAAAAACAACAGTCGAAAATGACTATAATCGACAAAAAAATTTTCTATCAAATATAATTATATAATCGACAGCCATTAGCTGTCGAATATAGGTATAATTGACAGCCAACGGCTATCGAATATACTTGGTAAAAAAATTTTAAAAAAATACAAAATTTATTAAAATTCAGAATTATATTTATAATTTCTGTTAATTAAATTATATTAAAAAAATAATAAAACAAAATTCAACACAATTATCAAACCCCCCAACAATATATTTATGAA